CATGTGATAAATTTAAAATGCAGTTCTTTTTTTTTTTTCTAATTTTAACACTTCGATTTTATGTTTTTATCGCAATTTGGACGTGAGTACATAAAGGTCTGGGGACTTATAGTGATTCACCTGTACAATTTCTAGATTTCACAGGAAGGAAGGGTAGCTGGGAGGAAAGTTATAGAAATTCAGTTAGACCATTTCTAATATTCACTTTGATAAAATATATACCAAAAAATAGATGTTTAAATTTTATAACTCTTAAATTACTTATTCTTATTAAATTCTAATATAAAATTAGAATATAAAAAGGCTTTTTTTTTTTTTCAAAGAGCAATACAAAATGATCACTAAAAAGAGACCTAATAGCAGGAATATATAAATAGATGATTTCCATTGTTGTGTATCATTTAAATAGTTGTTCCTCCTCTAGCAGTGTAAGGGGAAATGGACATTTTCTGGAAGGAAACTACACACTTTAATTTAATCTCTATATTTTATTCCTCTCCTGATTATTTGATGATGAATATACAACATAAATCTAACACAGGTATAAACGATATAAAACCTGAATCTAAATGGTCTTCGTACTGATCTAATAGCAAAGGTTATCCAGTGACTCTGGCCACTGTACTCGCTCAATTTTCTTATCTGTAAAGTAGAGCTGAAAACATTGTTTTCCTATGTGATGGAGTAATAAAAATGATCATAAAAATACCATGTATGATAAAGCACATGTATAGGTATTCTGGAAAGCTAAAAAAGAAGAGTTGAATTTAAAACACTTTAGGGGCGCCTGGGTGGCTGAGTTGGTTAAGCTTCTGACTCTTGATTCTGACTCTTGATTCAGCTTGGTTGTGATTTTGAGGTGGTGAGTTCCAGCCCCACACAGACTCTGCGCTGACAGCATGGAGCCTGCTTGAGATTCTCCCTCTTTCTCTGTTCTTCCCCCATTCGTACTCTCTCTGTCATTCTCAAAATAAATAAACTTAAAAAAAATAAAAAACTATAACCCTTTAAATGATTGTTATGCTCAGTTTCTGTTGGTTAAATAATTAAAACTATAATTAATTTTTGAAAAATTTTTTAATGTTTATTCATTTTGAGACAAAGAGAGACAGAGCACGAATGGGGGAGGGGCAGAGAGAGAGGGAGACACAGAATCAGAAGCAGGTTCCAGGCTCTGAGCCATCAGCCCAGAGCCCCACGCGGGGCTCGAACTCACGGACCGCGAGATCGTGACCTGAGCTGAAGTCGGATGCTCAACCGACTGAGCCACCCAGGTGCCCCAAAACTATAATTAATTTAAAAAGAAATAATTTTCTGTATGTTACTGGGAAAATAAGTCATTGCCAATCCCTAAATCCTGGCGATGTAATTTTACATATGGTCATGATTTTGTCTGTGAAAAAGCCGAAGACAAATAAACTTCCACACCAGAGTAAATAGGTGGCAGAAAAAATAAAAATAAAAACATTAGAAAATTTAACTTTCATAGTTATTGTAGCCTAATCTCATGGGATGTGGGAAAGTATTAGCATTTAAATATATTCATAAGCCAATTAAAAAAACACAGCTTTCAAAAGAAAATATTATTATATTACACATATTATTATATATTACATATATTACAAATATTATATATATATAATATACATTATTCAAAAGAAAATATTATATATTACATAAACCCACTTGATGTCCATCCTATCCTCTGCAACGACAAAAAAAATTTTGGTTTTCCATAAAAATAACTTCCAGTAACCTTCAAAAATTTTAATCATAAGTTTAAAAGGTATAGTTTTGTTTCCCTAGAAAAAAAGTAATAGCTATTTTAGCATCAATATTCCTTTACCATAAGGTGCTTTACAAATATGTTTCTAAGAGCTTTTCTAAAGATAGAAATGAAGCAGATCAATATACTGGTTTAATGCTAAAAAGATCACAAATAAAATATTTATCATTTAAAAGCTAACTAGCCAAATCTATGGGGAAAAAATATGACTGTATTCTCAAGAGAATAGTGGTTAATAAGCGATAGTATCCCACCTTAGGCTGCTGATAAAAGAAATATGTTTACAGACTAATTTAACTTTATTTTTAAAAATTTTTTAATGTGCATTTATTTGGAGAGAGAAGGAGAGAGAGTGCGCTAGCAGGGGAGGGGCAGAGAGAGGAAGCGAGAGAAAGAATCCCAAGCAGGCTCTGTGCTGCCAGCTCAGAGCCCGACACTGGGCTCAAACTCACAACCGCAAGATCATGACCTGAGTCAAAATCATGAGTCGGATGCTTACCTGATTGAGTCACCCAGGCGCCCCAGACTAATTTCACTTTAGATGGTCTATTTTTTCCCCCCAAATCTCATTTCTTTAGAATTTTAAAATAGCAAAATAGTAGTGGTAGTAGTCATGTTGCCAATACTTGTTAAATTTTTACCTAGTGCTGGGCAGTAAGTGTTAGATGTATTAAGTACATTAATATATTCGCAACAGTCTTTTCCAAAAACCCCGAGACCTAGTTTGTGATTACTGCTGTTTCCGTAACCGTACTCATTTGAATAAAGTGGCATCTCAGCCTCAGAGAAGTTAGTTGCCTCACCCAGGGATGTACAGCCGTATGTGATGGACCCCAGGTTTAGTGCATTGGTGTGAAAAAGCCAGTCTTTTCATACCTAAAAAAGGTAAATGAAGGTTTAGTAGATAGATCATCATTGTTCTGTGGGATTTATTGCCTAGAGCCTTTCTGCACGTGAGAGGAACCTAACTAAAGTGGAAAAAGAGTGACCTTGAGCCAATATATCCATAGGGGCTCATGCTCAATCACACACGTTATTTTTCAACTCATATTTTCTGAGCTTTGGTTGATGAATCACATAAAGCATAGCAAAATGAACTCCTACGGTTTTTGAAAAAAAATTGTCCTTATATGTAATCAAAAAAGTTCATAGGTGAATTGTCTTTATTATACTCTAATTGTACATTTCAGGTAAGAATCATTTACATTTGAAAATGGATAATGGAAGAAAATGTGTAACATGATTTTTTCATTGTTTCATTTTTCATTGTTGTTTTCATATGTTTCAAGAAAGCATAGTTTGCTTAATATATTATTTTAATAGCATGAGACACTTTTTTAAAAAAATCTTGCATATAGCCCTATTTTTGAAAATTGATAAATAATATTTAGAATCTCACTCTCCATATTTATATTGGAACTTTGCAGGAAAAACAAAAACAAAAACACGAATTTCCCTTGGCTCAAAAATGCTTTGCTCCCTTTAGTCTTTCCTCAAAGTGGTTTCATGTAATAAGAGAATAGTTCTGTGGAAACTACGAATTTCTCTGGATCTTAGCTAGCTCAGTTTTCCTAAACCATCACTACCTACATAGTTAGTGTTAAAATTTGGTGGGTGAAGAAGATTCTGAAAATGGCATGGAAAAATTATTTTTCCTCCAACACAATTATGTGTTTGTTACTGTTTCTCTTTATCAGAAATAAAAGAACTATGATAAAAATTATACTTTTCTTGGGCATGAGAGGTGCAATTTGCTGATTCAATACTTAAGGAATTCTCATCTGCGACTTCATGGAGATGCTTAAAAGTACCTATGTGTTCTAGCACAGGTGAACTGCACAGTCGCCTGGGGAAAGTGCCAAGAATCAAGTCATAAACAGAATTAACTTTTTATATAACGTGTATTCCCTGAAGGAAAAAAAAAAAGATTAAATACATGTAGTTGTGAGGCTCAGTCATTCTGCAGAAAAAGAAACCAGGATTCAGACAGGTGTGCCATAATTCAGTACCAACTTGATTCAAAATAAGATCACAGTGATTCCGTTAGAATAAAACTTCTTTAAGTCAGTATTAAAATATTACAGCCTAATTTTTAAAACCATAACTTAGAAAAACTTTGTTTTACATGTGTGTTTTTTTCCAAAGTGGTTTTCACAAAACCCAGTCTCTCCCTGTGCGTTATTTGCATTCCACACCACTCACAGATTTAACAGGTCATTATGCTACTGAGGAGTAAATGTGTTTTATCATTAAAACAGATCGTTGTAATTTTATAATGTTATGTAAGCAAATGCTAACATAATTGTGCTGATTCATTTTGAATAAGTCTCTAAAATTGTCTTGTGACAATCTTATTTTCCCTCCAGGTAACACACAGTATGACCAGTTTAATCTGTTTCCATTGTGCTTATTTGTGTCCCAATACGGTTATAACTGTGTAGTCTACCCTCATATTCAACTACAGGCATGAAACACTTGATTCATTGTCACCACCACTGCTCTCCTTGATATTTCTACTCTGTTCGTCAGCGTATTTCATCCTAGTCCCCTTCACCTTTTTCATGGACGCTGTCTGTACGACATTCAGGAATTCCTGCAACCACATGCCAAGGAAAAATGACTCCCGTCTTCCCCTACCTTCCCATGTTATATTCCAGAAAGGTCATAAGTACAATAGCTCTGTAAAATGTTGTCTCTAATCTAACATGATTTGTTAAAATATTAACTGAAAAAATACAAGTAAGCCATTTATTCTAAGATGATGATTTTCAAAGTATTCACAAACAGATATTTTAAAATGTATTCTCTGTCAAAACAAAGTGCTTTGAGCACACAGAATTTGCAAGTTTAAGACTTAAAGTTAAAATAATTCCATATGGAACATTTATTTAACCCTCTCTTACAGTTAGGGATGTGATAAAATTCATCATCTTCCTCTGAGGAAATCAAAAAGTATATTGGAAAGAAGAGTTACTTGAGAGGTTTTTTTTTTAACCTAAATAAAGTTTGAAAAGATATTTCAAGTCATTAACATGTCAGTTGCTTAAAATATTGTTTGAACACCGGAGAATGGTTCCCAACAATTATGAAATTGAAACCTGCCAGTGACTATCACTTTTTCCTGTCTCTTTGGTTATGATTAATTTTCAACATAACTGTCTAAACTTTTCTGATTTGGAGCTTTGTAAAAGTTTTGTTTTTGTTTGTTTTTAAGATACACTTTTTAATGGTCTTGGGCTTGGAGCAGTCATCGGCCTGGGAGTTGCGGCACTCTTGCTAATCCTGGTGGTAACAGACGTCAGCTGTTTCTTCATCCGACAATGCGGGTTATTGATGTGCATCACGAGGAGAATGTGCGGGAAGAAAAGTGGCTCCAGTGGGAAGAGTAAAGAACTCGAAGAAGGAAAAGCAGCATACCTGTGAGTATCAGACATTTGCACCGAATTCCATTACACAAATGCTACAATCGAGCTTGAATACTTCATTCAGTGACTTTGTTTTCCAAGTGAAGAGCTTGACCATAAGACTGTTGGGCACGGTAGTGTCTGCTTTCTGATCTTAAACGACCTTCAATATGACATGTTATAGAGCCAAATGCTTTTGAAAACAGACTATTAAAATTTTTTTAAAATGGTGTCCACACAAAAAAATAGATGATTTAAATACAGATAGAAAAAATAAATAACTATGGATAGAAAGATGCATAATGGTACAAATGCATTTGTGATTTCTTCCACCATTTTTCAGTTTATGTTGAATAAAAGAAGGACATCAACAGCAAAAACGTGGTTAAACTGAGTAAAATAAATTATGACAATTCCTACCAGTGTATGAAGTGACTCCGTAGAGGTTTCCAGATTGTCTGTATAGAAATATTCTATGTGCCATGCAATACATTATTGCAGATTCTGAATTTACTCTCAAGTTTTGATCAAAAGATGATTATATGTTAGAATTCGGAGCTCTCTGAGGCATCTCAAACAATTAGACAGAATATAAATTCCACGAAAATACACAGAGCTGAATACTGTAGACTCCTTTGAATACGACTGAATACATGACTGTACTCCTGAATATAAGCCTCCTTTGTCATGTAAAAGAGCAACAAAGAGATTTTAATACTTTTGTTTTGTTTTGTTTTGTTTTGTTTTGTTTTGTGTGTCTTTTGATAGCTTTGTAACTAATTTAAAAAGTACAAAAGGCTCAGTGAAAAAAGACATTGGAGAGGGCCACCTGGATGGCTCCGTTGTTTAGAACCCAGCTTTGGTCCAGGTCATGACCTCATGGGTTCTTGAGTTCAAATCCCACATTGGGCTCTCTGCTGTCAGCCCGGAGCCCGCTTTGGATCCTCTGTTTCTCTCTCTCTGTCTGGGACCTCCCCGCTCAGGCACTTTCTCTCTCTCTCAAAAATAGATAAAAAGAAAATTAAAAATAAAAAGTTGGAAATAGGCACACTCACATGTAAACACACAATGTTTATGTGTAGATATAGGTGTATTTGTATACATATACATATGTGTGTATATTAAACCCAGCAATCAAAAATAAGCATTCTTAAGAATTAACATTTGCTTTACTTTTTAAACTTACAGTTTTTCTGTATATGGTTTTCTAATAATTCATTATGAATATTTTTAAACAGACAAAAGAGGTGAAAGAATTTTATAGCAAACACCCATTTAGCAACCACTTGGGTTCTACAGAAATATTTTATTATATTTCTCTTATTATGTATTTTTCGATCCTTTATCCATTATTTTCTTTTTGCCTTTCAGAATACATCAGTACACTTAGCCCTTACACAATGCAACTTTGCCTATCATTGCATACCAATTTTATGTAAAATCTGCATAACACAAAATGCACAAAATGTTCCCTTAATGAATTTTAACAAATGTTTATATCTGTATAACTCAAGACTTATCAATTTCAGAAACTTAGCATCATCCTCAAAATTTCTGGGACCCCTGGGTGGCTTAGTTGGTTAAGTGTCTGACTCTTGATTTCGGCCCAGGTCATGATCTCTTGGTTTGTGAGATGGAGTTCCATGTGGGGCTCTGCACTGACAACACGGAACCTGCTTGGGATTCTCTCTCTTTCTCTTTGCCCCTCCCCCACTCACTCACACTTGCTAGCTCACTTCCTCTCTGTCTCTCAAAATAAATAAACTTAAATTTTTTTTTCTCTCATGCTTTTACCCAAACAGCACATACTACCCCACCCCTGCCCAGGCAATTACTATTCTGATGTTTTCACCATAAATAATTTGTAGCTGTTATAGAACTTGATATAAATGGATTCTTGTAATATTTACTCTTATGTGTCTGGCTTCTTTCATTCGGCATCACATTTTAGGATTCATTCATGGTTACATTTTTCAGTAATTCATTTCTTTTTAAAGTTGAGTTATTTCTCGGGTACCTGGGTGGCTTAGTTGGTTAAGTGCCCAACTTCGACTCAGGCCATGATCTCACAGTTTGTGAGTTCAAGCGCCCCACCAGGCTCTATGCTGACAGCTTGGAGCATGGAGCCTGCTTCTGATTCGGTGTCTCTCTCTGTCTTTGCCCTTACCCTGCTTGCGCTCTCTCTCTCTCTTTCTCTCAAAAATAAATAAACATTAAAAAAATTAAAGTTGAATTATTTCTATTTGTTTTTCTATGCATACATTTAGGCAAGTATGATCATGCATTAATTTCTAGGCTTAACAATATAGGAGAATCCACTCTGCATGGCTGCATTGTTTTTGTTTTTTATCTCCGCACCTATTTCAATCCTACTAAACAATTTGTCTATGACCATTTCTTTTTTTTTTTTCAACGCAAGTGCGATGTATTTTTGGACAGAGAGAGATGAGCATGAACGGGGAGGGGCAGAGAGAGAGGGAGACACAGAATCGGAACAGGTTCTGGTGCGTTCTGTTTATCAGCCCAGAGCCCTCACAAGCAAGTCGGGAATAACTCATGCGGATCATGAATGCGGAATGGCCAGGTTTTGGACGCTTAACCGACTGCGCCACCCAGGCGCCCCTGTCTATGACCATTTCTTATGGATACCCTTTAAAGGATATTTTCACTTCATGGGATGCTAAGTTAGATAGCCTACATTTTCATTTCAAAAACATTAGATTCATTCACAATCAAAATGCCACCTGCTTACTTGGTGGAAACAGAACACAACAAAGAACAGACAGAAATCAGGCTCTACTTCAGACTTGAATGGGATATTAATGTATGTCAGAGTAAACATAGTGGGATCTATTCACTATCCAGTATCTCTCGCTTTCCTTATTAGAACATATTCTACTTTTTCATACCTTGCTGTACTTCTACATTGTCTTATTAACTAAATAAGTATATACCAAACTTTAGTTTATTTTTCACATATTGAGAAAACAATGTACTATATAACATAATTATACATATATACATATCACACATGTATACACACACACATAAGTCAAAGCTGAATTTTATACATCTTCGTTCTTGGTGACCCATTGAGCAAATATGTACTGGATAAATACAAGGTAACAGGCACCTCTGTACAACCTAGCAATAAAATGGTGACCAAAGCAAATACGATTTTTAATCACATGAAACTCTCGTTTTGATTTACCAAGGCAGATAATAAGTACTAACTAAAAAAGAAAGTGTCTAGTAATAATAAGCACTAAAAATAAACACCAAGCACTAAAAAAAAACAAGAAAGAAAAAAGGAGTGACAAAAAGGAGTGACTACAGAGAGGGTCATGAAAGGTCTTGCAGGGGAAGGGAACATTCTAGAAGGTGGAACAATTAATACAAAAGTCGTTGAAACAGGAATAATCTTACAACGTTAAAGGCCAAATGAACATGAGTGGTGTGAGGCCAAGAGGGTCTGGTGCAAATGTCCGGCTGGAGAATTATCTAGGTACCAAAATATTAAATCTTCAGTCAAAGTAAGGAACATTGTTATTTCTTTTAATAGAAAGCTCCTGAAAGTTTTTAAAGATTACTTTACTCGTGAAGAATGAATTACTCAAAGGTTGGTGGTGCAGAGGAAATATTTAGAACCGGAAAGACTGAGTGGGAGGGTCTTGGAATACTACACATACAAAATTATAGTCTTTTGGACCAAGGTCGTAGTACTACAGGCATATTAAAATGTACAGAATTTAGATGTAGCTGAGGTAGAGTCAACTACTATTGACTGATTTGGCTTTAGAGTGAAAGAAAGAGAGAAATCATGTTTTTGTCTTAATTAACTGGAGAAATATTGGTGACCATGTGCAAAACAATGAGGTACATTCAAATTCTGGTATTTATTTTTATTTCACTCCATTAATTGATATTTTTTCCATCAACACTTCTGTTTGTAAATCCTGCTGAGTTTAATTAACCTTAAAGATTTGGGAAGACGAAAACACAGGGTTCATTCCATCCTTGTTATCCATCATAACTTTTAATATCACCATTTCCTCTGCCTTGGGAAAAGAGTTTTCAATGCCTATTCAAAAATTCATTGTACAAATCTGTCAATACTTTATTAAATATTATAAATATTATACAAAATCATGATGACAAATAGAATATAACTGATTGGATGGATTGGCTCCCTACTGACCCCTAAACATGATCCAAAGCATTCTTAGACTAGCACTTTTATGTTATCACAATTATAAGACTGTGCAGATGTATTACAAAATATGTTAGTTACACAAGGTGTTCTTTTTTAAAGATTATCAAGTTGCAGAAAAGAAAAATTAAAGTCAATGTCATACAGAATGACATTCATGTAAAGTTCTAGAATATTCCTTTGTTCGCCTCTTATAAATTTAAATTAAACTTACATTTATCTTTCATTCTCATTATTTATCTAGTAAAATGATGAATGATTCTTATTTTATCAAACAGTACTTCTACTCTTGTTTACCCAAGCATTAATTTATACTAATAAATATTTATTCAATACCTACATAATCAGGCACTATTCAAAGGCCCAGAGATGCAACTGTGAGGAAAAGCAAACTAGTCCCTTCCATCATCTAGCTTTTAACTCTGCTGGGAAACACATTTCAATGAAGAAACAATCAAATAAATGAGGAAATAATTTCTGTTATATATGCTATGTAAGAAAAAAAAAACAGAAAGAATTTTCCTGGTCAGAAATACCTGAACAGGTTGTAAAAGAACTAGCCAAAGTGTGTGTGTGTGTGTGTGCATGTGTGTGTGTGTGTGTGTGTGTGTGTGTGTGTGAGAGAGAGAGAGAGAGAGAGACAGAGACAGAGAGAGACTGTGTGTGTGGAAATGGCTTCTCAATGGGCAGAAAAAGAAATACCCAAATCCATCCCCTTTATTTCCACATGAGAAAAGAGAAATACCTAACTCAGTTCACTTCTACCATCCTGACCCTCTTAATGGGGGGGGGGGGAATCCAAGAA